CATTAATGTACTTAAGATGAAACTCATTTTATACAGCTATTATTGATATTTCGTGAAATTCATCACTGATATAGATTATTTATGATATTAAATTGTTCTGATCAACTATATTTCAGGAGTTAATTTTAGTGATATCTTACGTTTGCCTTTGTTCTGAACAGGGCTCTCAATAGTTTTAAGAAGCACAAAGAGCTAGAAATTTGACAAATAGTCGATGCTAATCTGTTTGGCAGAAAATGACTGAGAAAAGTTGCTTTCTTAAACTTAATACACAGTTTTCCAACAACAGTTTATTATTTTCGCAGACACCACGTACAAAGTGGAGTGGGAACCTAACCTACCTTAGCTTCTCCGACATCGATACGTATTGTTCCCAAATAGCACCAGCACCTAAGTTTTCAGTCAGGATGAGGGCTGAGCTCTCGTCAGATTTCTTGTGGAATCATTGTTAGCAACAACGGTTAATATTTCTCAAGAGATATTCATGAAGGAACCATCTCAGATGCTTCCTTTAGATTATAATGATTGCTTGCCTATAGATACTATATAATGTTCTGATAAAAACTCTAAAAGGATTTGAGTTCCTATTTATATTTGACTTAATTATCGAATTTTTAATATGTCTATTATCTCGAGGTCCTAGTTTTTCTAAAAACTCTTATTTTCGAATTTTGATCTAAAATTTTGTCATATAGAAAATTCGACTAGACTAGCTTCCATAAAAAAATTCAGAAGTTTTGAATAAAGTCTCTTCAAGATATGAAGCTTTCAAAAAATTCATGTTGTATACATTATACATAGAAAAAGGTCTATATCTTAAAATTCTCATATCTCGCAGAGGTTTTATTCAAAACTTCTGAATTTTTTAATGGAAACTAGTCTAGTTGAGTCTTCTGCATGCGCAAAATTTCAGATCAAAATTCAATAGTTTTGTCAAATCTCCATAGGAATCTAAATCCTATTTAGGCTTTTTATGAGAACACTATACAGTATGTCGTCAGCTTCCCTGTAGCATCATCAATATTCCCAAATTAGATCCATCAAATTCAAAAGTCACCTCACGAAATGCATTCGATGTTCGATTCACATTTCTGAACTACGTAATATAACTCATAAATGAATGAAAACTAGAATCTCAACAAGTTTATTAAAAAAACAAAAGGATATTACTTATCATGACATAATGAGATGATTTATGTTACTATTTTTTTCTATTGCGTTAAAATCAAACTTATATCAAAATAAGTCTTATTTTTCTTAAAGCTGTCCATGAACTTGATAGGATAAGGGATTGATTCATTTACAAAATTCTTTCTTACAAAATTATCTATGAATCATTTATAACTCTCTTAATATAGAGTAAATTTTAATGTAATTGATATGCTTCTGAGTTGTGAGTAGAGATTGTAGGGCCAAATTTTTTGCTTCCGATCTCGGTAACTTTTTTCTAGCGATCCCGAGTCCGCCTCGGTAACTTCTTTTCTAATAGTTCCGGTTCCGATCTCGAGAAAACTATTTCAGAATTTATTCTTATTGCATCTAAAAAAATTCTTCAATGCTCCTTTTTTGATTTATTTAGCCGACGACAAGCACTTTTTTTGAGCCATCTCTTTTGAAGAATGTTCTCATTGATATAATTTATAAGGTAGTTTGCTTAGAACTATAGAATGTTTAATTAGAATCTTTAGTTCCGGTTAAAACAACTTTTTCCTAGTCGTCCCGACGACTGTGACTAATATTGGTCCAACACGTCTCTGGTGGAAAGATATATTTAATATAGTCATATACAAAATTTTCAATACAGTGTTCTTCATATTTCATGCTCTTCTACAAATAAACCAAACAGATTTTTTTATCATTTACTGTTCTCTAACGAATGGACCAATATGTTATATATTATACTTATAAAATTGTATTCATATTCAAGAATATATTTATTTGGACATGAGTGTTAAACTTTCAACATAATACAAAAAACTTTTTCATCAAAATAACTTTTCTAATTTACTTGCTAATTTTTCTGAAAATACTTCACATGAGATATATAAATAAGAAAAAAAGAAAAGAGAAATAAAAATCTTTTTTTTTCAACGACGTATTAATTTTCTCCAAGCATTAAAAAAGCGCATTTTAAGCGTTTTTTTGTCATCATTATTATGATCTGTTGAAATTATTGATATCGCTTGTCGATTCAGTGTTGCTGGATGATTCGAATGTAAAAATTTCTCAAAGGGTTGAACAATACAATCAAGATTAGAATTGTCAGTAAGTAATTCAACAAAGGTAGCATGAGACATGTTTTCTGTTAATTGTTGATTGAGTGAAAGTATAATATCATTTACATGTAGACCACTTTTAGCAGCTGGACTATCATTTTCAATTTCATGAACAAGAAAATAACTTTTATTATATTGTAAACGAAAACCATAGCCATCGTAATCTGTTGTACGACATAAATGTACAACATGTATCTCTTCACCCTGTATTGATGATGGAATTATATCCATGTCAGATTGTGATGTTTCTGTTTGTTGTTGATTTTCTTGAATCCTAAAGTCGAGATGGATATGAATATAGGAAAATTACAAATAGCTCAGTATTGCTTTCAACATTTGTCAAAACATTTGAAATGTGCATTATTAGTGTTTTTTCAAGATAATAATTACGCTTAAGTTCTGATAACATTTTTTTTTTCAACTTCATATTCAATTATTGTTCGAATATACTCTCCCGCATTGAGATCAGGTGAATTTTCGGAATAAATATCATGACGCGAAAACTTCAAGTCATTGTCTTGTAGCTAGGCTTGTGTTTATACATCAGTGGCAGAATTAAATTGAATTTTAACACAGAGATTGAGTGTATATTTTTCAGAATATTTTTGTTTTTTGAAAGCAATTTAGCTTTCTTAGAAAGAATGATACAAACAATGTATTTATATAAAGAAAAAAATAGATCTATCTACCATTCATTTGAATAAAGAAAAAGAAGAATCGAAGAGAATATCATCGAGAAAGAATACATTGAACTACATACTTTACAGTAGAGTATTTATATATAAATTAAAATCAATAGATCGTGGTAAATTTTCTTATAGAAAAGAAAATTAACGATGTATCACTAATGACTTTTGTTTCTGTTTTGTGCACATTCATTAATAGAAATTACATGAACTCATCGAGAAAGTCATGGCTATGGTCGAAATTAACATATACTTTTTGTTTACATCAATTGATTTCTCACATCAAACTAGAATTGTGAAACAATTTTTAGACTCCTGCAATTTGATTTGATGGAGTTATAAGCGTTGAAACATGAAGGACTCTGAGAAATGGGAAAAACTAGGTCATCTCTATTGTTTCGCTTATATCTAGGTCACTTTTCATTCATTTTGTTTGAACAACATCTCATTTGAAAAGAACACATAAATCTGAATAAGTATGTTACAAATAGATTTCTCAAAATTGTGTTTTTATTCAACTGACTCTTTTTGCTTGTAAACCGTTTTTTAATATGATAACTAATCGGAGTATAACTTTAATATAGTGCATCTTGTAGAAAAATTTGCACTCTACAAAATCATTGTAACGATTTTGAGAATAAAACTCCAGAAAAGACCGAAAAATATAGAGGTGTATTATTCTCGAGGTACAGCTTTGTGTTTTTTTACCAGTATTCAGTAGATATTGATTAGAAAAATTATGATTTAATCAAAAGTACTATGATATTTTGAATTAGCATAAAACATTGAGTCAATTTACGTGTATTTCAAATATCTTCGAAATGTTTTTTTTTTCTTTTCATCGAAAAATTCATCCCTATCCATCTTAGGCGTTAGTCAGTAAATGAATTTCAACAAAAATTTATTTTGACAATGAGAAAACGAGTTGTAAGACTTTTAAATGATAGTATAAAGCAAAATGAAAGTTAATTAGGCAATAAAAGAAGAGTTTTGATGAATTTCATGTTTTCATAAGTCCATTCAGTTTTTTATGCTGATTCAGGTAGGATATCATCGTATTTTTGATCGAATCGTAATATTTCTAAGCAAAATCTACTAAATACAAATAAAAAATATTATGCCTTGAGTATAATGCGTCTCCACCTAATTTGATGTTTTCTGAAACTTTGTTCTCAAAATTGTTATAATGATTTTATAGAACGCAAAATTTTCTACAAAATACACTATATTAAAGCACTAGCATCGTGAGATTCACGAAAATCTATGCACCTAATACTGTCGATAAGTCTCTGCTATTTAATATGATAAGTACCATCCATATTCAAGTAATTTGAGCTTAAGTGACTCGTCAAAAGAATAGATTCTGGTTTTGTTTATGATATATATTGATCAGCAAATGACTTTATATATTGTTTCACAAATTGCTTAATCTTTTCCATTCTAGAACTTTCTCACAGAACGAAAAAGCAAAAAATCTTTCTAACTAACGACTACTATGAGGAACAAACAATAGAACAGTCGTATCTTCTGAATAAGAATTACGTCTCACGATCACCAAAATAATGCTCTTTCTATTTTTTTAAAGTGAATTTCCTGTTTTTTTTTTTCTGTGTTAGGAACCACTAAAAATACATTAGAGCAGTTGCATTCTACAAAATTCTATAAATTTCGAGAGTTCAACATACACAAGACTTCGTAACTCTTATTGTTTAACCCTAATAAACCCCATCTTCAACGAACTTTCGTTTAATATAAAATTTATTGCTTATTCTATTTGAAATCGTTGCGATATCCCCGTAGAAAAATATTACGTCCTACTTGGTAAGATTCGGAGATTCACCTGGTGTCATAGTTAAAATCTTCTTGTCACGCTTGGTATGTCGTTTTTACTAATAAAGCTAAACAAATGTAATGTGACTCTTTTTGGGGCGTCGATAAAGATTATTATTCAATACACGCTTGAATGATCACTATTTTTAATCTTTTCCTACTCTTTCTGTTGTACACTTTTTCTATTGAAAAATTATATGAAATGAAAATGTAGTTACTGCGTCATTATAAAATGGGAAAATATTTATTATTATTAGATTCTAAAATATGCTTTTATTATATAGACCGGCATATATGGAAAAAAACACGTGCATATAGGTATTATCGTCATTGATCGACTACTGGATGTGATGGTTTACTATAGATCATGTATAATTTTTGCTTGATAATAGGTGACTCATATGTAAAATTTTTCGGTGTAGATACTATAGGTCGATAGTTAAAGGAAGGCGGACCATGATATGATGATGAAGACATTGGACATTGTCGATCAAGCGAAAATCGATTATATAATGGTTGTTTAATTACATATGACATTTCATCATCTGAAATAAGTTAAGGAAAAAAAATGTGCAATTATTTTTGTCAATTTCTTTTTTAAATATTTTCTAAAGATAGAATGACATTAGACAGACATAAAACAAAAGATAGTTTATGAAACATCTGTTGCTTGTAAAACGATCATTGTATATTCTTTGTCTAAAAAGAAAAAGAAAACAAATATGTATATTATATAAAATGATTCATTTTATTTTTCTACAAACCAGGTGCAACCAATATTTCATGTTTTTTAGTACGCATACGAAAAAAGATAAGTTCATTTGTTGGATCAATATCACGAATTGTTGAACGAGCTTTATCAGATAAAGATTTTATTAATGCTGCATATTGTTGAGTTAATG